GTAAATACAAAGTGCTCACACACACACACACACACACACAAATTACCAATCAAGAATACTATAACCAGCAAAAATGTCCTTCAAAAATCAGTAAGAAAATTAAGACGTTCCTAGATTAAAAAAAAAAAACCTAAAAGATAGGAGTTCATTACTACTAGATCTGCAATGAGAGTTCTTCAAGTTGAAACAAAATTACACTAGACAGGGACTTCCCTGGTGGAGCAGTGGTTAAGAATCCGCCTGCCAATGCAGGGAACACGAGTTGGATCCCTGGTCCGGGAAGATCCCACATGCTGCAGACCAACTAAGCCCGTGCACCACAACTACTGAGCCTGCGCTCTAGAGCCCGCAAGCCACAACTACTGAATCCCGTGCGCCTACAGCTCACGCTCCGCAACAAGAGAAGCCACTGCAATGAGAAGCCCGCGCACCGCAACACGAAGAGTAGCCCCTGCTCACCGCCACTAGAGAAAAAAGCACAAAGACCCAACACAGCCAAAAATAAATAATAAATAAATAAATTACACTAGGCAGTAACTCAAAAGCCATGTGAAGATATAAAGTTCACTGGCGAAGGCAAATATATGAATAAATATAAAAGCCAGTGTTGTAACTGTTTCATATCCCCACTTTTAATTTTGTAGGATTTAGAGACAAAAGCTCTAAAAAAAAGAAATCTATGTTAATGGGTACACAATATCTAAAAATACAATTTGTGGCATTAGTAACAAAGCAGGGGAGCAGAGTTGTAAAAGAGAATTTTTGTATGTGACTGAAATAAGTTGTTACCAATTCAAAATAGATTATAACAATAGGTTGGTTTAAACTCCCCAAAAGTCATAGACCTGAGGAATGGATACAAAACAAGGTCCAACTATGAGCAGTCTACAAGAGATACACTTTAGATCCAAAGACACACATAGTTTAAAAGCTAAGGATGGAAAATGATTCCATACAAACAGCAATCAAGAGAGCGCGAGTGGCTATACCATTAGCAGACAAAACAGACTTTAAGTCAAAAAATGTTACAAAGACAAAGGACATTATATAATGATTCACCAAGAAGGCAGATTATAAATATCAATACATATGCACCAAACATCAGAGCTTTGAAATATGTGAAGCAAATGCTAACAGAATTGAAGGGAGAAATAGACAGCTCTACAGTAATAGTGGGTGACTTAAAATACTTTCAATAATGGCTATAAGAACCAGACAGAAGATCATTAAGAAAATAAGTGGACTGGAGCACTACAGACCAATCAGATCTAAGAGACAAATACAGAACATTCTACCTAACATGAGAATACACATTTTTTTCCTCAAGTGCATATGGATTAATTTCCATGTTAGGCCATAAAACCAGACAATAGATTTTAAAATACTTAAGTCACATAAAGTATCTTTTCTGGTCACAAAAGATGAAACTAGAAATTTATACCAGAAGGAAAATAGAAAAATCCACAAATATGTTGAAATTAAACATACCCTCCAACAACCAGTGGGTCAAAGTGGGTATCAGAAAAGAAATTTAGGACTTCCCTGGTGGTGCAGTGGTTAAGAATCTACCTGCCAATGCAGGGGACACAGGTTTGATCCCTGGTCCGGGAAGATCCCACATGCCGTGGAGCAACTAAGCCCATGCACCACAACTACTGAGCCCGTGCTCTAGAGCCTGTGAGCCACAGCTACTGAGCCCATGTGCTCTCGGATCCACATGCCACAACTACTGAGCCCACATGCTCCAACTACTGAAGCCCACGCACTTAGAGCCCGTGCTCTGCAACGAGAAGCCACCACAATGAGAAGCCTGCGCACCGCAACAAAGAGTAGCCCCCACTCGCCACAAATAGAGAAAGCCCATGCACAGCAAAGAAGACCCAATGCAGCCAAAAAATAAAGAAAAAAGAAATTTAAAAAGAAGATCAAGTCAACAACCTAAGTTTATACCTTAAAAAGGTAGAAAAAGGGGCTTCCCTGGTGGCGCTGTGGTTGAGAGTCCACCTGCCAATGCAGGGGACACAGGTTCATGCCCTGGTCCAGGAAGATCCCACATGCCACGGAGCGGCTAGGCCCGTGAGCCGTGGCCACTGAGCCTGCGCGCCTGGAGCCTGTGCTCCACAACGGGAGAGGCCGCAACAGTGAGAGGCCCGCGTACCGCAAAAAAAAAAAAAAAAGGTAGAAAAAGAAAAGCAAGCTAAACGAAAGCAGGAAATAAAGATTAAACAAAACAGGGAACAGAAAAACACTAGAGCTACATCAACAAAATCAAAAGAGCTGGTTATTTGCAAAGATCAACCAATTTAACAAACCTTTAGTCAGACTAAGAAAAAAGAAAACTCAACTAAAAACAGAAATTAAAGAAGGGACATTATGTCACCAAATCAGATCACCCACATGAAATGGAATAATTCCTATAAACACACAACCTACCAAGAAATAAGAAACAGATTAACAGACTTATAACTAAGTAAGGAGATTAAATCAGCAATCAATAACCTCCCAACAAAGAAAAGCCCAGGATCAGATGGCTTCACAGGAAAATTCTACCAAACATCTAAAGAAGTTAACACCAATCCTCCTCAAACTATTCCAAAAAACTGAAGGGGGGGGCTTCCCTGGTGGCGCAGTGCTTGAGAGTCCGCCTGCCGATGCAGGAGACGCGGGTTCGTGCCCCGTTTCGGGAAGATCCCACGTGCCGCGGAGCGGCTGGGCCCGTGAGCCATGGCCACTGAGCCTGCGCGTCCGGAGCCTGTGCTCCGCAAATGGGAGAGGCCACAACAGTGAGAGGCCCGCATAACGCAAGGAAAAAAAAAAAAAAAAACTGAAGGGGGGTGGGGGTGGGGAAACATTTCCAAATTCACTCTATGTATTTTTTGTTTTCTATATATTTATATTAAGACATCTTAAACATTTCTGTATGATGGAGAGACTGCCCCCCACCATGTTTTCCTGAACCTCTCACATGTCTCTTGTGGCCAACAACTGACTCACTAACTCATTTAGGAATATAAAACATTCTATAAGACCAACATTACCCTTATATCAAAGTCAGACAAATATAACACAAGAAACTAGAGAGTAATATCCCAAATACAGATGCAAAAATCCTTAATAAAATACTAGCAAACAATTCAACAGCTCATTAAAAGGATTAAACACCATGACCAAGGATGATTCAACATATGAAAATATACCACAGAGCCACATGATCATCTCAACTAATTCAGAAAACGCATCTGAAAAATTCAATACCTTTTCATGATTAAAAAAAATTCAAATAAAGAACAGAAAGAAACTACCTCAGTATAATAAAGGTGATACACGAGAAACCCACAGCTAATATACTCAATAGTGAAAGGCTTAAAAGCTTCTCCAGGGCTTCCCTGGTGGCACAGTGGTTGAGAGTCCGCCTGCCGATGCAGGGGACACAGGTTCGTGCCCCGGTCCGGGAACATCCCACATGCCACGGAGCAGCTAGGCCCTTGAGCCATGGCCGCTGAGCCTGCGCGTCCGGAGCCTGTGCTCCGCAACGGGAGAGGCCACAACAGTGAGAGGCCCGCGTAATGCAAAAAAAAAAAAAAAAAAGCTTCTCCAAGGTCAGGAAAAAAAAAAAAAAAGGATGCCCATTCTTACCCCTTCTCTTCAACATAGTACTGGAAGTCCTAGTCAGAGCAATTAGGGAAGAAAAAGAAATAAAAGACATCCAAATTGCAAAGGAAGAAGTAAAACTATCTCTGCAGATGACCTGATCTTATATGCAGAAATCCCAAAAAGATTTCACACACACACAAAAAACTGTTAGAATAAACTCGGCAAAGCTGCAGGATACAAAATCAACGCACAAAATCAGCTGTGTTTCTAGATACTAACAATGAATAATCAGAAAAGCAAATTAAGGAAACAACCCCAATTACATTAGCATTAAAAAAAAAAATACAATTCTTAGGAATAAACTTCACCAAGGAGGCAAAAGACTTGTATACTGAAAGATACAAAACATTGCTGAAATTAAAGAAACAAATGGAAAGACATCCTGTGTTCATGTTCCCTTAACATCATATCCAAAAATTAATAAAATGGATCAAAGACCTAAAGGTAAGAGCTAATAGAACTATAAAACTTTTGCAGAAAATATAATACTTTACAACACTGGATCTGTCAATTTCTTAAGCATGACACCAAAAGCACAGGCAACAAAAGAAAAATTACATAAATTAGACTCCATCAAAATTTCAAATGTCTGTGCATCAAAGGACACAATTAACAGACTGAAAAGGCAATCCATAGAATGGGAGAAAATATCTAAATCATATCTGATAAGGAGTTTTAAATAACTCCCACAACTCAACAAAAACAATCCAATTAAAAGTGGGCAAAGGACTTGAATAGACATTTCTCCAGAGAACATACACAAATGGCCAAAAAGCATGGGAAAAGATGCTCAACATCATTAACTGTTAGGGAAAAGCAAACGAAGACCAAAATAAAACACCTCACACCCATTTGGATGTCTATCAAAAAACCAGAAAACAAGTGTTCACAATGATGTGGAGTAACTGGGACCCTTGTGAACAGAAGTTGGTGAAGTGAAAAATGGTGCAGCCACTATGTAAAATAGTATGGCGGTTCCTTAAAAAATTAAAAACAGAACTACCATATGACTTAGCAACTCCACTTCTGAGTATATACTCAAAAAAGTATTAAAGCAGGGTATCAAAGAGATATCTGCACACAAAGCAGCAGCATTATTCACAGTAGCCAAAAGCAATCCAAGTGTCCACTAACAGATGATTAAACAAAATGTGGTATATAGATAAAATTTACTTAGATGAAAAGAGTTCTGAAGACTGGTTGTACAACAATGTAAATGTACTTGACAATACTGAACTGTACACTTAAAAATAAAGTTAAGACTGTATATTTTATATATATTGCCACAGTTAAAAAAGATTTCAAACAGTAATTTCAAATAACCATATTACCTTTATATTCCAAAATCACTTTGCACTCTGAAAGATACCAGCTTTCCTCATCTCCTCAAAATCTTTTATGGAATCATAATTTCTGTAGAAATCTGCATATGCCTTCTTTCTTGGTTCAGCCACAGCAAACTAAAAGGTAACATCACATTTAGGACTTATTTTTTTTAATTATTAGAAACAATATCTAAAGACAACATAAATCACCAAGTTTTTGTTCACTTTGAATCCTACTTATCTTGAATCCTATTATTAAGGCCCTTAAAGAGGTAATTAAGTTAAAATGAAGTCTTTAGGGTGGGTCCTAACCCAACATGACTAGCATCCTTAGAGGAGAAGAAATTTCAGACAGGAACAATGCTAACACACAGAGGACCATGTGATGAGAGAGAGAAGACAGGAATACAAAGCCAAGGAGAGAGGCCTCAGAAATCAATCCCACAGCCAACTTTTGTTTCGGCCGCGGCGCAGGGCATGCAGGATCTTATTTCCCCAACCAGGGATCGAACCAGTGCCTCCTGCAGTGGAAGCACGGAGTCTCAACCACTGGACTGCCGGGGAAGTCCCCCACAGCTATCTTGATCTTGGATTTTTAAGCCTTGAAAAAAAAATTTCTATTGTGGAAGCCACCCAGATTGTGGTATTTTGTTATGGCAGCCCTAGCAAACCAAGACAGCTTCATTTAAAGATGGAGGACAAGCTACCTGGGGAATAAGATACTTTCCCATCACACTGCGGTGGGTCGAGAAAGGGTAAGAGGAAAGGAGAACATTAAAGAGGGAATTTCTTTAAAAGACTCTAGGGCCTTCCCTGGCGGTCCAGTGGTTAAGACTTCACCTTCCAACGCAGGGGATGTGGGTTCGACCCCTGGTTGGGGAGCTAAGATCCCACATGCCTCGTGGCCAAAAAACCAAAACATAAAACAGAAGCGGTATTGTAACATGCTTAATAAAGAATTTTAAAATGGCCCACGTCAAAAAAATCTTAAAAAAACAAAAGACTCTATATTCTATGAAAATAAAATACATTTTCAAATTTAAAACACATTTTTGGAGCATGAGCACGAAGTAAAAATAAAACATACATACCTTATAGAAAGTTGCAGCTCCCAAGGAGACAATGATTGCTCCAACAATATGAAAACGCAGACGCTTGGCCAGAAGGCCACGCATCTGAGGTTTTGTCAAAGAACTGGAAGCCATGGTAGTTTTTCTCCTTGACAGCTAAAATAATAAAAGACAACTCTTAGAACATAAGATACCTAAAGAACTCTTCTGCATAATGCATTTTAGTACTCAGTGAAGCACAGGCAGGACAGTGGACCGACTCCTCTCCCAAACCCTAAGGTCTTTACTGGCTTCGCGGTTTCATCTTCTCACACGGTGAACGACCACCCTAAATAAGCAAGATCAAAGCCCAACAGTAGTAACCAGGGAACAAGAACGACAAAAACCTCACCCAACTACAGGGAAGATTAGCAGCGGCTCTGGATGGGGAATCACAAGTGCAAACATTCCTAGCATTTACTCTACAAGCTTACTACCAACTCATTTCAGCCTGTGAGACAGCTGTTTTCCCATTTTATTGAGAAAACCGGGCTGCAGGAAGGTTACCGGACTATTTCAAGGTCACGCAATCAAGAACTAACACTCGGGCGGGACCCCAGCAGGTCCCGCAGGGCCCACTTTGTGACCCGAGCCTGAAGGCCGCCGCGCGCGGGCCGGCCTCCCGACCTTCGGCGAGCGCGGCCCGGGCAGGGGCGGAAAGGTCGTGGGCGCGCGCAGGGGGCTGCCGGGAGCCCACCCCTGCCCTCCTACCACAGGCCCGGTGACCCTCCTGCAGCTTCCCAACTCCAATCACAAACGCTACCACAAAGCTGACGACCACTAAGGGCCAACGGTGCTCCTTAAGCCTCGGGAACGGATGAGGAAGAAACCACCTTCCCTTTTTGTAGGTGAAGACACTGGGACCAGACAGGTCAAAAGACGCAACCAAGGTCACGCTAAAGGCGGTAAAAAAGCAGCGGCCACCGGGCCCGGGCCGGCTGTCTCAAAAGCCCGGCGGTCCCTAGAGGCCCCCTCAGCAAACCCGGCCCCCGTGGGACCCGCGCCGCCAGCCCGCCTCCCGTCCTCCCCTAAAAGGCCGCAACGCGGGCCTGCTGGGGTCGACGAGGGCGAGAGGTCCGAGGTTTTCCGCCCCAGAGATGCAGAGTAACGATTTAGCTCCAAGGTAGACCGACAGCAGGCAGCGGGAGGCGGCAAGTACGGGAATCCGAACGAGGGACACAAAACGCCCAAGACTCACCTCAACAACGACGTCCTTGGAAAAATGGACGGCGTTCCAGCAGCGCGCAGGCGCATAAATAGAGAGAACGGAGAGAGGATCCGGCTACGGTGGCCCAAAGAGTACAAAAGGCCTCCAGCGCACGTCCCGCCGTTCAGAGTTGAAGATAATCTGCGTATTTAGCCTCTTTTCTGTGTAACCTTGGATTCAGGGTTTGAACTTGTGAGTCAGTTTCCTTAGTCAAGTCGAGATATTGATCTTACTAATACACAGAGTTGATATGAACTTATTGGGGAATTCAAAGATTATTAATATGTGAATTTTTTTTTTTAATGTACCCTACAAATACAGCACAAATCATCCTGGGCATGGATTGCTCCAACTATGTGCACAAACCATTTTCATTATGACTATCCTTATGCATCTAGCCACTTGTTTGGGTAAAGAGTGAATAAGACAGCTAAGTTCCAGGAACTCACAGCCCAGCAGATGAGACAGACATAAACTGAGTAACATCAATCCCAAGCAGTAGGCACTACCGTAGACACGTGACCCTGGTGCTGCAGAAGCAATTACCTGCTTGGAAAAGCTGAGCAAGTTTGGATGGAAGTATTTGTGTGGACTTTTAGTAAAAGACAAGTGTTTTAAAGCAAGGCATCTGGAAGTTTATGGAAAGTAGTGTGTAAAGTAAGGCTCTTGTGCCTTAGGGTTGTCACTTGATTTTTATTGAAATAACCTGGATTTGTACTGCATTATTCAACTCAGCAAGTACTGTGAAAGATTCATAGGATACATGATATTGATTCAACATATATAGGTTGAGCAATTACTAGGTACCAGGTTCTGCTATTAGCAGGGAAGATTATCAAGGAGGTCATGGAGTCTTTGTCCTCAACTTGTTAACAGATGGCTCTGGGGAGTGAAACCTTTCAGCCACACAGAAATGGTGCTAATTGAAGGTCAAAGTGGACTTGTACCTCAACAACACTTTTTTTCAGACTTCTTATTGTTGTTGAAGACAAGTTCGTGTGCCTGAGAAATGGTGAGGCCAAACAAACTGAGACGTCAGAGTTTAGAGCAGAGAAAGGTTTATTGCAAGGGCCAACCAAGGAGAACAGGCAGCCCATGCTCAAAAAAACCCGAATTCTTCAATGGTTTGGGAGGAAGAGTTTTTAAGCGCAAAATTTGGGGTGAGGGCTGCAGAGTATGTGACTTTCCTGTGATTGGCTGGTGGTGAAGAAACAAGGTGGTGTTCCGGGAATCTTGTGCTCAGCCTGAAGTTATGTTCCTCCAGGAACCGAGTGGGGGCCTTAGTTCCTACCGAAGAACTCAAAGACATATTATATATCTGTGAGGTGAGTTATCTGGGAGGTGAGTCTTAGAGACCTCAAGTAACAGAACTAGAATTTAATATCCATTGAAACATAATCTTTTTCTTTCTAAAATTACCCTCACTTTTACCAAATATAGCCAAATTAAGACTAATTTGTTTACCAAATAAGTCTGGTTAATTGGTCACATAGGGTTTTTTACACTGGCTGTACTGGAACTCTTCATAAGGAGTCTCAGACAACTTTTTTTTGTTTGAATTTTTGAATTTTATTTTATTGATTTTTTTTATACAGCAGGTTCTTATTAATTATCTATTTTATACATGTTAGTGTATATATGTCAATCCCAATCTCCCAGTTCATCACACCACCACCACCCACCACACCACTTTCCCCCCTTGGTGTCCATATGTTTGTTCAGACAACTTTTAATAGGCCTCTCAAGGCCGGGAAAGTCATGCCAAGGACTTGCCATTAGATTCTGCCTGGGTGAACTTCTCTCCTCTAGAGTTCCCCAAAATATCAAAATTCCTGTACCTGCCAGGAGGCAGCCTTTCTTGTTCACCTGATAAGTCTGTTCAGAACCTAAGAGTTTCTGATTTCTGGATGGATCAGGTAGAGAGAAAAGATAAACGTTTTAGTTCTACTTACAGAGGGGTGATTTACCAAATTGCTTTGTCATAATTAGCATGAGAGGAAGGGTTTCCTTATATCTGGAAAACACAGATCAAAACCAATAATATTCCAGGGCTTCCCTGGTGGCACAGTGGTTGAGAGTCCGCCTGCCGATGCAGGGGACACGGGTTCGTGCCCTGGTCTGGGAAGATCGCACATGCCGCGGAGCGGCTGGGCCCATGAGCCATGGCCGCTGAGCCTGCACGTCTGGAGCCTGTGCTCCGCCACAACAGTGAGAGGTCCATGTACCGCAAAAATAATAATAATAATAATAAAATAAATAAAATACTGTTTGACTCAGGATCCAAATAAGGGCTACATGTTGCAACTGCTTGAAATGTCTTTTACTTCTCTTTTAATTTATAGGTTTCCCCGTCTCTTTTTTTTATTCTTGCAATTTATGTGATTTGTTTTGTTCTGTTTGTTTAGTGCAGTGGCTGGGTACCACTTAAAATCCTCTTGCAGTGAATTGTCCCATACCTGGGGGAACACTGACTCTCTGGTCAATAATTGTAATACAGTAACGTTTTCAGCACATAGGAAACACTCATAAATATTTGTTGAAGGAGAGAAAGGAAGAGGAAGGGAGGTAGGGAGGGTTGGGAATAAGCCAGAGCCAGAGGCAATACTGGGCCCCCTCCCAGCCTTAGGGAGGCTTCATAAGGGACTCCTATGTTGGCTATCCCCACACAACTGACAATTTCCTTCCCAGATTAAGATTGTCAAGGCCTTCTCATAGCTTGCAGGTCAAGATCATGCTCCTAACATAGTGAAAGAGCAAGTTCTAGTCTGCTCCAGTCTACCTTTTCAGTTTCTTGCCCGGAGTCACCTAATAAGGAAACTAATCCATGCTCATGGTTATAAAGTTCTCTCTCTTGATATGCCCCACTGACATCCTTCTTTCCAGAAGTAATTACTTTTACCATTTCTTCGGTTGATTAGCTTTACATTTATGAATCATAGCTATCATTATGCAATGATATGCTATCATGTGAAAGCATTAATACTATTCTACCATCATGCAATAATGTGCTATCATATTATAGGGAAGGAAAACTTTTCCTTTCTTCCCTTCTATTGGCTGGTCTAATAATTAAATTGACATAAGACAAATTAACAGGAGAAACACAAATTTAATTTCATATGTATAGGAGCTCATAAAAAATATGTGACTCAAAGAAATGACCAAAGCAGGCAGCTTTTATACCTTTTAGACAAAGACACAATAAATTTTTGAAGAACTGACAAGACAAAGAAAATTGGACTTGAGGTAGTAAATTAGTGAAATATCAATAATGAGATTTGTTTATACAGCCTTCTAGAGAGCTCTAAATTCTCTACCTCTAGTGACAAGGAGGTCTCTCTAGCTCCTGCTACATGGGAGACTTATTTCCTGCTTTCAATGGGATAAAGAAGGGTCAGCATGTCCTTCTTACCCAGCTGTTTCTTCAGTAACTTTAATTCAAAATAATCAATATGCCAAAATGGTATATTTTGGGGTGGCATATTTGGCTCCCCTTCAGTATCATAGCATAACATGCTATCAAATAAATTTCTTGATCTATCAATATAAGACATTATCTATTAACTTCCTACTATGATAAGCATTGAGCTCAGTTATATCTCCTTACTACCCCTCCTCCGCTTCTCCCAGTATCACCTTTTTAGTTACTCTACTGGTTACTAATAGATAAAAAATATATATGCCTCATTCCATGTGTTGAATGCTCTTGTCCCCTCTCCCCTTTTTTCATAATGTGTGTTTTAAGTTCCTCAAGCTGATTGTCCCCATCAGTGGTAACAATGATATTCTAAATGTTTGCCCTTAGTGAAAGAAATCTAAAAAGAAAAAGAAAAATTCTCATTCTTCCCAGAGGAGATATTAAGACTTTTTGAGACAAGGTATCCTATTT